GAGAATTTTATTTGGGCTCCTAACTTTTGGTGGAAGAAGCCCGAAGGGCTCCTTAAAAATTTCCTTAGGCAACAGCCTTGATGTATTTAAAGAAAATCGTGCTGTCAAAGCTGCTAAACGTAACCGTTTAAATTCGTGCTGCGTCAAAATCCACATTCGAAGGATTTGCTCCAAAAGATGCCACTCGGAAAACCGAGGTTTTTTGCACACATTATTTCTCAAAAACGAAGTGCAAATCAACAAAAACAATTATGCAACAATGCTTTTCATGTCAAAACAAGTCAGTCTGCCAAAAATTACATGTAGCTCAATCCTGCAAAAAATAAAAATCGACCCAAAATGCTATATTCGCCCTTTTTGCACGAAAGCCTTCAATTACATTAAGAATCTCTTTATTATTAAAACAATTACACATATATTCTCTAGAGTACCTACCAATCTGTGAACAATGCCGTGTTTGCACCCAGAAATAAAACCAAGTCCTCTGTCATTTGCTCCTTGCTTCTCTTGTTGGCCAACATAACCATAATGTAGTCAGGTAATTCTTCATCTTCAAGGAAAAACAAAAAGCAAAACCATTTAGTGCGTTGTACCAATGATCATAGATGGCTTCAGCTAATGTGTTTACATCCTTACTGATGAACTGAATCATCACATGAACTGAATTGGGTGGTGACAAGAATACAAACACGGTTGCCGAATCTGTCTATTTAATTCAACAATTCAAATTCTTTTAGTGCATAATTATAAAGTGCTTTAATAAGATTTAAGTAAGAAGTTGCTCTGATAGGTGCTCTGATGCCGCACCTATCAGAGAGCAATAAGAGATACCCATAAAAACTTCCTTTGTGGAGGAACGGCGGTCTCATGGTTAGTGCCCTCAACTCTGGATAGAGCAGTCTGGGTTTAAGCACTGGCAAGGGACATTGTGTTGAGTTCTTGGGCAAGACACTTTACTTTCAGAGTGCCTCTCTCTACCCAGGTGTATAAATGGGTACTGGCAAATTTAATACTGGGGGTAACTGTCAGGATGCACCCAAAATTTGCCTTCAAGGAAGTGCAATGGCCTAATGGTTAGTGCACTGGACTCTGGATTGAGTGGTCTGAGCTCCAGCCCTGGCCAGGGTCATTGTATTGTGTTCTTGGGCAAGACTCTTTACTTTCACCGTGCCTCTCTCCACCCAGGTGTATAAATGGGTACTGGCGAATTTAATGCTGGGGGTAACCTTGGGATGGACAAGCATCCCATCCAGGGGGAGTAGAAGTACTCCTAGTTGCTTCATGCTACAGAAATCGAAGATAAGTGCCAGCCTGATCAGCCGCTTGGCTCGTATACGGACTTCACCTTTGCCTTTATAACAATTTCCCTTTTTAGAAGGAAAATGTTTGAAAACTGAAAATATTACAGATGGTGATTCAGAACAGACTAACCTCTGGAGCTTTGGTGGGTGCTGTGTCTTATCAAAAGCACTGCATCAAATAACCTAATTATCAAACTGAATACTCACCAACGTAAGATCCAAGCTCTTTTAATTTTGTTTTAATAGCACCCTATAAAGACAAAAGAAATTTTGTCACCATAACGTCTATTAAAAATGTGCTTAGTTTATACCCTTGATTGGACATCAAACGAAAAGGGACAGAACTGAACACTGTGTTTAACAACATTGAAGTGCAGGCTAGAGGGAGAGGAGAAGGCCAGGTCGACCCAAAAAAAAACATGAAGGAGTATGGTTGCTGAGGAAAGGCCTGCTGCTAGGTCGCAGTCCTGGGTGACTATCAGAGCTCTAGCAGCAAATTAAAGTGCATGGAAGAAGAATGTCGAAGCCTTACGACCATACCCAGGACATTTTATGAAGCTCGATTATGTATAGAAATTTTTGTAGAGCTCTGCGACTCTACGGTAGTATTTTGAATGTTTAAGCTCCGTTTCTCTCGGATGTGCGTACACCGTAGAGGTGTAGTGGCATATAGTTATTGCAGCAAATATTATATCGCTTAGGGAATGTTGAGTGTTATTACGGATTACAGTGTTTTAATAATTGTTTTCAATTAACAATTCTGTACTGAGTTTACCCTGACTAGGCTCTATGCACTACGCTATATGTTCTTCCATCTACGTTCAACGCGCTACGCTCTTAAAGCTCTTCCACTCCATGTTCTACCATCTACTCTCTACGCATTTACTAGTTTATCAGTTCAAGAATTTTTGACTACTCTCTACACTAGCTTAGAGGCTTAAAAAACAGTAGAGTGATAAAAAATATTGGGCTGGGAGTGCGAGTTTCTTGATCATCTGCGATGCTGTAATTTTTGTAATTGTAATTCACTGGCTTTCTTTATTATCTCATATATATCAAAGTGTTATTGAAGTGTTATTACCGTTTACAGTATTTTAAAAATCTTTTTAATGTACAATTCTGTATTGAGTTTACCCTCTACTCTATATGCTCTATGCTATATGTTCTTCCACCTACATTCTACTCTCTACATTCTACCAGCTACTCTCTTCAATCTACCCTCTTCGATCTACCATCTACCCTCTAAGCCCATCTACGCTCTACGTACAAGCTACGCTCCACGATCTACCATCTACCCTCTAAGCCCATCTGCTTGGAAGGTTATTGGAATTTTTTTAATTTGTTTAAAAATTNACTTTGATAAACAATTTTTTCCTCAAGGAAAGATTATTTTACCATTTGAATGAATGATCTGTGTCAAATACATGTATAACCGAAGATATCATTTTTCCGACTAGGATCTTCAGAACGCTTAATTCAGACAAACATTTCGTAGATGACTTGCCGACATCTGCCGAAACACAGATCTTTTCTTGTAAAAACATATATACGCATATATGTGCGCGTATACATGCGTATACGTGCACGTATTGACATATGCGTATATGCAAAATACGCTCGTATAATACGCGTATGCGTAGTTCGCAAATATCTGAGCTGCACTGTATATGGATTGCATTGAATTACTAAGCAGTGTCTTGTTGACACATGCCTTTGAATATTTATCAAATGTGACAATGGTCATCTTTGATTTTGATCAAAGTCATTTCACTTGGACATTTACATAATTATATTACAGGAATTTCAAGGGCACTGCTAAATAAAATGTGTTTGTAAGCCAATGGTGTTAAAAGACTGGTCCCTTGAAAATGACTCAATATAACACCATCAAACCAGAGTCAACTGACATACGATTTTCACTTGACTCTGAAGATTACTTCCCCTCAGGTTTCCGAAACAACAGTGACCAAAATCAGTTCTTTACAGAGCTGACCTCGACACTCAAATAATCACACAAAAGCTAGACGAAATATTGATAGGAGAGAAAACATGCTCATAACGAAAGTATTTGGTAAGCTAAATAGGGTCATAATAACATTTAAAATGCTCTCTCATGAGCGCTTCAAACGTTAAACAGATGTTTTGCGTTCAATTATTAACATCTGACAATTAAAATCAGTGTCGAAACAAGATGGCGGCGTACGCAGTGGATTATTTCAGGCTAAATTATTGCCCTTTACGAACTAAAACACATGAAATAAAACGTGCTACTATCGTAGCTACTTACTCTTATTTGTTGACTAATCTCGTTTCCAATTTCCATGTTAAATTCCACCAAAACCAGCTTAAACTTTCATCCTACCAGCATGACCTTCTCAGAATCAACTTGAACGATGCGGCGTGGTCACATGGCTAGTCTGCATTTTTTCGCGGCAAACAGCTGGATCAAACCACCGCGTATTCATTCTCTCCGGGTATCTCCGCTAATTCATCGGAAATATTCGGTTTCCGAATATTTGCCGAGTAAAGAAACGGACGGAAATTTGCAGACAAATCGTCATGGCGCGGTGTAAATGCTTCCAAATTTTTCCAGGAGATTCATTTTTGGCTTTATTACCACCCACCAATTACTACGAGAACAGCTAATCTGTAAGTTGGAGCTTGCCAAACTTTTTACGGCGTTTTTGCCGTGAGGCACTTGAAAATGTTCAAGCGTTTGTTTCAAAAGAAACGTAAACGAATCGACATATCGGAACCGCAGAACTTCGAACACCGATTTCACACTGGATATGATACAAAAACGGGGAAGTTCCTTGGTTTGCCGCCTCAATGGGAAGCCTTGCTTGGGATAGAGAGAGAATCTCAAAGGAGACCTAAACCGATTGTCGATCCTGAAATTATCACTCAAGTTTCACCGTTGCGAAAGTCCCAATTGAATTTGTTGAACTCCGAGAAACCCGGACAAGCTTCTAAAGTCATATCCGTTTCTAGGTCGAATTCCCTGCGCAATTCGTTCAGAGTTAATCCAGGCTCTAGACCTTCCGGTAGAAAAAGAGATAGACCGAATCCTGAACTTAGTGAAGGTGTAGATGCTTCGAGGACATCCAACGGGAATGTTGCAGCGGATTATTTTCCAGAAAGTCCCGAGAAATTAAACAACCGCCGATTTTCGCAAGGGTATGGACGCTCGTACAACGAAAGAGACAATAATAGGCAGCAAAAGACTTCTGGTATACAGAGAGAGACGTCTGCGAGTTCCGATTATGGCTCGGCAAGTACGGACTCGGCGGGCGAAGCAGCGGAAAATAACGGAGACGACCTTCGAAGTTCTTCGAAGACGAGGCTCATGTACTCTGATTCACCAGTGAGTCACGAGCAGTTTCGTAAAGCTTTGGAATTAGTTGTAACCTCGACTGGTCCGCCTGAGAATCTGGAAAATTTTATTAAAATAGGCGAGGGTTCAACCGGGGTTGTCTGTCTTGCTCGAGACAACAAAACGGGACGGCAAGTTGCGGTGAAGAAAATGGATTTGAAAAAACAACAAAGAAGAGAACTTTTGTTCAATGAGGTAAGCTTAAAGAGATTAACGTCTTAAATATACATCTTTACTTTAACAATTTTTTTTTCTGAATTTGCAATCTTAAGGTCTTGAGGTCATACACATCTATAAAACGCCATTTCGAGAATGTAGCTTCCTTTCGTCGGTCACGAATGCATACGACGCGCAGATATTAAACCCTCTGTTTTTTTGGGTTTTGTTTGCTCTGTGTAATTTATTTGTAAGGTTTTACTTCCAAAGAGTTGTAGTTAGCTTCTGTAAACGATGTTATGTTGAAACCTGAGATGCTTATTAGCTTTAAGTTTAATAAAACATCAATGAGATTATTATTATTATTATTGTAAGTGATTATGTCAGTGTCGCATACAATTATTTAAGAGATAAAGGAATAAATTTAAATTACTGAGTTTGCGATGGAGATATTTTCAGTTTATTGATGGTTTTAGACGTTGCCCAGTTTCATGGTCTTTGATTCATTCTTAGTGTACTGAAAATGTATACTTTTAATTGTCTTTGTTAAGTATGTGGTAAAATAGTTTTGTTACTAACCTGCTTTATTAGCAGTAATCTTATCTAGGATATTTATTAGACAGGCACAAAGTGTTTAAAAAAATACATCTTCTTCCAATAGTTTATGATTATTAATTTTATGAGACTTTCTTTAATATATTGTCACATTTTAAGTGTATTTAGTGATGTTCCCAGCTTTTAAGTCACACCAGTAAATTCTTAAATGCCAGCATTTTTAGTTTCAGTCAAGATATGCAAGAAACATTGCAAATTTCTTGCAGAACTTGCCACCCCTCCCTCAATCCCTCTGGATTATTATTCCACTTTTGGTTCATGGTTTCCTTTGAAAAATTGGCTTTTGAGACTCATTGTTCCTCTTTGAATTTGCAAGAACCCTTCTTTGGGTGGGTATAATTATTCTGGAACAGCACCAGTAAGGTCAGTCAGTCTGCATGTAGCTGGCGTGATTTTGTGTTTTTTTTTTTTATTGGAGGCTCTGCTGCTGAGACAAAAGCACTGATGCACAAAGTACTGTCAGCTAAGCAGGCTACATTTTGTAAATCTCAGCTTAAAACCTTCCTTACCTATTAATTGCTATCAGTATTAATACAGTTTATGTTTGTGGTTATAGGTGGTGATTATGAGAGATTACCCACACCCAAACATAGTGGAAATGTATGGAAGTCACCTTGTTGGAGATGAACTGTGGGTAGTTATGGAATTCCTTGAGGGAGGATCACTAACAGATATCATAACTCACACAAGGTGAGGAGAAATATTTACTTGTACATATGTATGCAGTTAAACTATGCAATTTAACTAAAGAAGTTATCAACAAGGAGTGCAAGTCTTGCCGTCGCGGTCAATGTTATTTAGATACCGGTATGTAAATCGTCAAATTAGTGCCTGGGATGCTTATTTCAAATTTAAGAAAAGATGGGGGCACTTAATCAAGGAGGGTGGGTGGGTGGGAGGGGGGCACTTACTTAATTTTTCCCAAATCATGGCCTGACATGATCATTTTTTAAATACATCATCTGGGCGTAAACAACAGCATAAGCTGTTTATCGACATAAAAAGCTGATCCTTAACTTTAAATCGCTACACTGTTAGTACTTGTAATTTTTTTTTCAAACTTAATGTGTTCACAAACTGAGACAATGCACAAATCTAATACTACATGGCGAAAACTATACATCCTTTGGTGTCTTATTACTCGTTCCACAAAATGGAGGGAGGGGAGGGGCACTTATTTCGAATTTTGGCCGATAGGAGGGGCACTTATTCGAAGGGGGCGCTTATTCGAGGATTTACGGTATGCACATGCGCCAGGATTCCACATGTTCTTAGACCACGGCAGTTTTTGCATTTCAGTTAGCATTTTCCTCATTTGCGTCGTGAGTGTGGGGACTCTTCTCAGAGGCTGTTTCCCCTCCCCTGTTCCTCCCTCTCTTTCCTCTGTTTTTATCAGTGTGACAGGTGCATGTTTTTATCCTTTCTGGATTGGGTTCCTGGAGCTGGGTTGCTGGGACTTGCCAGCCATGGGAGCAGTCTCCATTTAGGAGCTGGTTTACTGAATCGTGGAAGCTCCTGGATGTCTTGGGCACCCAACCTCCACTTTGCGAGGCAGTTGTTAATGATTAGTTAGAAGTTAGCTGTGATGTTTTTTTCCTGGGTGGCTACATGTATTATAAAATAAATGTTTTTTTTTTCTGGTAAAACTCTTTCCTTGCTTGTCTGTCTGTCTGTTTTTTATTGTTAGATTATGCATATATTTAACACATGTACACAGGTAGCTAGTGGAGGTTTCCATTCAATCCTATTGGTACTTACTGCATCACATTTGGTAGCATAAAGTGACAAGAAACATATTTATATTCCCTATTAGATGTGATTCTGGTTCATTGTACATAGGGGTAGCCTGCAGTATTAAGGTGATTCCTCAGGAAGAAAAGTTGCCAAAAAAAGTTTTTGAAAGTTTCCATGAATGTTCCCTACCAAGAACTGTTTTGAAAAATACAGTTAAAAAGATAGGTCACCATGCTCACTTAAGAGATATGATGGGCCAATCTTACCCAATTTACATGTAGGCCTAACCATTCACATTATTTCATTAGTTGACTGTTCATTTATGTTTTGCAGTAGCTGGAAGCAAATTGTATTAAAGCAATACCTGAAAAAAATATTGATAGGTAGCACATCTCGGACAGTTAGAATATTGTAATATATATAATGTATGGAAAAATTGTACAATTCTAAACAACATTCATTGACTCAAAAAGTTCCTTGCATCGTTGTGTTCGAGGTCATAATTCTCATTCTCAAGTAATGGTTTTGTGCAGTCTTATAGCTATATCTTTTTTTCCTTCCGAACATTTTTTTTTTCTTAATTTTTTAACTTAAAGCGGATTATTTGTGCACCAAAATGTAGCAATAAAATGTTAGGTCACCATATATGCTCATTTAAGAGAAAAGGAACATTTATAAATTCATTGTGAAGCGTAGCTTGAAGGAAATCTCTTACATTGTGTATGTGTACGCACTCATGCGCACGTGCAATGACGCAAAAATCATATGCAGTAGGGATGCACAATATGATACTGACGAATCACCTTAAATTTGCTAGCACCCATTTTTACACCTGGGTGGAGTGAGGCTCGGAAAGTTAAGTGTCTAAATTACACAATGGTCCTAGCCATGGATAAAACCTAGACCACTCAACTTTGAGTTCCACATTGTAACCATTTGGTCATTACACCTCCCGTAAACTAAGGGAGATATAAGAGCCTTCCATAAACTATAGAAGTGTCATCGAGAAGGGTTATTCATTAATTTCTCTCTCTAGTTTGACAGAGGAGCAGGTGTCCTGTGTGTGCCGTGCCGTGTTGAAAGCTCTGGCTTTCCTGCATCCACAGGGAGTTATCCACAGAGATATCAAGAGTGATAGTATTCTTCTCACCACAAGTGGACAGGTATATGAAAAATACTCTCTACAATAAATTATAAGTTATTAACGTAATTCCAATCTTTCAGATAATCTGAGAGTCTCCTGGGTAAAGTCAGAATCTCCCTATCTCCCATAAGGGTCACCAAATTTCCTGTACAACACAAATGAAAGCACATAAAATACATTTTTCAGACATATTTCGGCCAGTGGGAACTTTCTTTAAATTTATTGTACATGAACTTCTACTGCGACTGTACTTATATGAAAAACATCCAATATCTAAGCCTCCTGCCTTCTATTCTGTTTTACTATTATATGATTTTGTACTACATGTACATGTATGAAACAGACAAAGTCATCAAATTGTATAGTGGGTGCATACAGTGCACATGTAAGTGGTCACAGGTTATGTACGTGTATAGTGTACATGTATAAAAATATGGATCTGTTTGCACTTGACAAAAATATGTTACAGAAATAACTTCTTTAAAATATTTCTTGCTGCAGGTGAAGCTGTCTGACTTTGGTTTCTGTGCCCAAGTGACAGAAGAAATGCCAAGAAGAAAGTCCCTTGTTGGCACTCCATACTGGATGGCACCTGAAGTTATATCAAGAAAACCTTATGGGAC